AACAACATATACATGTTGAATTGTTAATGTTATTTTAGTGTTCTTATGTTCCCCTTACCATGTACATCTTCCAGAAGATGTAAGCTGTTGATGAAACATTGAAAGAAAATGAAAACACTTGAATATTTCCATAAGAAAATTACCAGTTGTAATAATGCTAATGTGTTTAATTCTAAGTGTATCAAAGGAAACCTAATCCAAAGATATATTATTATTTTAGTGACACCTCGACTTACAATTGCCCCTACTTATAATATTTTTGAGTTACGATGTAAATTTGGTCGGAAAGTGTGACTCTACTTACGATCGTGTCGTCGACTTACGATATTCGTTGATACGCGTTCAGGTCGACCGAGCACACAGTTCTTGGTGGCACGGGCCGACCTGCCTCAGTTTACCAGAGCCTCCCACTTAGTGACGATCATGCTTGTAAGAAATTCCATCATTTTGGTGATCTTTTGTTTTATGAACATAAAAGTAATTATTATATATCCAAGAAAGTCAGTGTTAAGGTTCAACATATGAAAACACATGTGAGGATGACCATAAAGGTAAAACGAGAGCGTTCGTAAACATGAAGATGGTGTGCAGGTTGTTGATGTAGAGTAGAGGATGTCTCCATCATTTATTAAGAAAATGTGTGGTATGGGAAGAATTGCAAAGTTTTGCTGAAAAGTGTCACCCAAATGAAGCTGTTGCAGGGTGCAGGGCATTGTGTTAACATTTTTAATGACAATGTGATGTCTCACTTCAGACAAGTGTTACAACGTAGGCTTTTCGCAAAAGCCTTTGAGAGATGTGACCATGGTGTTATTGCACATTAAATGCGTTCAAAAGGAATTAATAGAAAAATAGGCAGATGGATCTACAATTTCCTGACTAACAGAACTCGATGTGTAATAGTCAACGGAATAAAATACTGTCCAACCAAGAAGAGTTCGGTCCCCCAGGGTACTGTGCTTGCTCCAGTACTTTTTCTCATCCTCATATTGGACATAGACACGGACACAATCTATAGTACTGTATCATCCTTTGCAGATGACACTAGGATTTTCATTAGAGTAGACAACATAGAGGACATGGCAAACCTCCAATCAGATGTAAATCAGGTCTTTCTGTGGGCTACAGAAAATAATATGGTGTTTAATGTAAATAAGGTCCAGCTCATGCACTACGGAAAAAATGAAAATATATAAACGGAAACCATGTACAAAACTCAGTCAAATCATAACATGGAACGAAAAGGCAATGTAAGGGATTTGGGTGTACTCATGTCGGAAGACCGTACCGTTAAAGAAAACAATAAAGTAGCCGTCACAAATGCAAGAAAAATGACAGGTTGGATAACAACGATCTTTCACACTAGAGATGCTATACCAATGATAGAATGGGGCCTCGACTTAAGATGCTAATCCGTTCCCAGAGACGGATCGTAAGTCGAAATAACGTAAGTCGAAGCGATTTTTCCCATAAGAAATAAAGGGATTTGAATTAATCCGTTCCCCACCCTCCAAAATATTAACATACAAATACATTTTATACTGAATACAATGTTTTTTTCTAACTACAATACAGTACCTAAGTTTATCTTACCTTTATGGAGGGCTCTTGATGGCATATGGAAGATGGTGTTGAGTGGGGAGGAGGAGAGTTGTTACTGTTTGGAAGGGGACATTTGTTTCCCTTCGTTTTAATATTTGTAATGATGCATCACTTTAGCACCCATAATGTCCTTTTTCTTAGCCAGTATGGTGGATATCGTTGACCGAGATTTGTTGTACTGCCTAGCCAGTCCAACAACCCGCACACCATCTTCATATTTACGAATGATATGTTGTTTCTGCTCTATGGTCATCCTTACATGGGATCTCATATGTTGAGCCTTACCACTGACTTGCCCGAGACTCATGGCGTGATATATAATAATTACTTTAATGTTCAAAATGCAAAAAATCACCACAAAAGCGAAATTTCTTATAGGCGCGATCGTCACTAAGCGGGCAGCTGTAGTAAACTGAGGCAGGTCGGCCGCTTGACCGGAAACCACACGCTCGGTCGACCTGAACGTGTACCAACAAATATCGTAAGTCGATGACACCATCGGATGTCGAGTCGCATTTTTCGATGAAATTTACATCGTAACTTGAAATTATCATAAGTAGGGGCAATCGTAAGTCGACGTGCCACTGTACTTTTAAAAATGCTAGGGCTCTTGAGTGGAGTACTGCTGCACAATGACAACCCCTTTCAAAGCTGGAGAAATTGCTGACCAGGAGAGCGAACAGATCCATCACTGCTAGATTCCATGCAGTAAAACATCTAAACTACTGGAACCGACTAAGGAGCCTAAATCTGTATTCCCTTGAGTGCAAGTGGGAGATGTACATAATAATTTACACATGGAAAATAGTAGAGGGGCTGGTCCCAAACCTGCACACAGAAATAACATCACATGAGACCAGAAGGCATGGCAGGATGTGCAGGATATCCCCGTTGAAAAGCAGAGGTGCAACAGGTGCTCAGAGAGAACTCTATCAACATCAGAGGCCCGAGACTGTTCAACATGCTTCTACTACACATAAGGGGCATAACTGGCAGACCCCTCACAGTGTTCGAGAGAACTGGATAAGCACCTCCAAAGGATACCTGATCAACCAGGCTGTGATTCATACGTCAGGCTGCAAGTAGCCACGTCCAACAGCCTGGTTGACCAGTCCAGCAACGAGGAGGCCCGGTCGAGAACCGGGCCGCGGGAACGCTAAGCCTCGGAAGCACCTCGAAGTAACCTCAAGGTAGGGGAAAAACAAGTGTTGTTTGATAGGTTTTTAGTGAGAAAAACAACCAGTGAGCCACAAGCTTGTCCTAGTGGTATGCCGGCAAAACGAGAGAGAGCGAGTGTGAGAGAGAGAGAGAGCGCGCGAGTGTGAGAGAGAGCGCGCGAGTGTGAGAAAGAGAGCGCGCGAGTGTGAGAGAGAGAGAGCGCGCGAGTGTGAGAGAGAGAGAGCGCGCGAGTGTGAGAGAGAGAGCGCGCGAGTGTGAGAGAGAGAGAGAGCGCGCGAGTGTGAGAGAGAGAGCGCGCGAGTGTGAGAGAGAGAGCGCGCGAGTGTGAGAGAGAGAGAGAGCGCGCGAGTGTGAGAGAGAGAGAGAGCGCGCGAGTGTGAGAGAGAGAGAGAGAGCGCGCGAGTGTGAGAGAGAGAGAGAGCGCGCGAGTGTGAGAGAGAGAGAGAGCGCGCGAGTGTGAGAGAGAGAGAGAGCGCGCGAGTGTGAGAGAGAGAGAGAGCGCGCGAGTGTGAGAGAGAGAGAGAGCGCGCGAGTGTGAGAGAGAGAGAGAGCGCGCGAGAGTGAGAGAGAGAGAGAGAGAGCGCGCGAGTGTGAGAGAGAGAGAGAGAGAGAGCGCGCGAGTGTGAGAGAGAGAGAGAGAGCGCGCGAGTGTGAGAGAGAGAGAGAGAGCGCGCGAGTGTGAGAGAGAGAGAGAGAGCGCGCGAGTGTGAGAGAGAGAGAGAGAGCGCGCGAGTGTGAGAGAGAGAGAGAGAGCGCGCGAGTGTGAGAGAGAGAGAGAGAGCGCGCGAGTGTGAGAGAGAGAGAGAGAGAGCGCGCGAGTGTGAGAGAGAGAGAGAGAGAGAGCGCGCGAGTGTGAGAGAGAGAGAGAGAGAGAGCGCGAGTGTGTGTGAGAGAGAGAGAGAGAGCGCGCGAGTGTGTGAGAGAGAGAGAGAGAGAGCGCGAGTGTGTGCGAGAGAGAGAGAGAGAGAGAGCGCGAGTGTGAGAGAGAGAGAGAGTGCGAGTGTGAGAGAGAGAGAGAGAGTGCGAGTGTGAGAGAGAGAGAGAGAGTGCGAGTGTGAGAGAGAGAGAGAGAGTGCGAGTGTGAGAGAGAGAGAGAGAGTGCGAGTGTGAGAGAGAGAGCGCGCGAGAGAGAGAGAGAGAGAGAGCGCGCGAGTGTGAGAGAGAGAGAGAGCGCGCGAGTGTGAGAGAGAGAGAGAGCGCGCGAGTGTGAGAGAGAGAGAGAGCGCGCGAGTGTGAGAGAGAGAGAGAGCGCGCGAGTGTGAGAGAGAGAGAGAGAGCGCGCGAGTGAGAGAGAGAGAGAGAGAGCGCGCGAGTGTGAGAGAGAGAGAGAGCGAGCGAGTGTGAGAGAGAGAGAGAGAGAGTGCGAGTGTGAGAGAGAGAGAGAGAGAGTGCGAGTGTGAGAGAGAGAGAGAGAGAGTGCGAGTGTGAGAGAGAGAGAGAGAGAGTGCGAGTGTGAGAGAGAGAGAGAGAGAGAGAGCGAGTGTGAGAGAGAGAGAGAGCGCGCGAGTGTGAGAGAGAGAGAGAGCGCGCGAGTGTGAGAGAGAGAGAGAGCGCGCGAGTGTGAGAGAGAGAGAGAGCGCGCGAGTGTGAGAGAGAGAGAGAGCGCGCGAGTGTGAGAGAGAGAGAGAGCGCGCGAGTGTGAGAGAGAGAGAGAGCGCGCGAGTGCGAGAGAGAGAGAGAGAGCGCGCGAGTGCGCGCGAGAGAGAGAGAGAGAGAGAGCGAGCGAGCGAGCGAGAGAGAGAGAGAGCGAGCGAGCGCGAGGGAGAGAGAGAGAGAGAGGGAGAGAGCGAGCGAGCGAGAGAGAGAGAGGTACCCCAGAAAAGTCATTGCTGCGTGATGTTATAATAGAAGGGGACTCCCCTTCCAAAGTCTAACACCACTCCTCCTCCTCACTGTCTTCCATATGCCAACAAGAGTTCTCATTCAAGGTAAGATATGCATACTGTACTGTATTGTAGTGTTATTTGGTATATAATATATTTTTAAGTTAATATTTTTGGGGATGTGGAACGGATTAATTCAATTCCCATTATTTCTTATGGGCAAATTTGTTTTGACTTTCTATATTTTGACTTAAGATTCGTCTCTATGAATGAATTAAAATTGTAAGTCATGGCCCCACTGTATTATTATTTCTATTATTATTTTCACAAAGAACATTCTCTGTACAAAGATTACTGTATGGGGGCTGGTGAACTAATGGTGGTGATATTTTTCAGCATGGTGTTTGCAGACATAGTGGGCTTCACAGTCCTTGCCTCCCAGTGCACTGCCCAGGAGCTCATTCGTCTCCTCAACGAACTCTTTGGCCGCTTCGACCAACTGGCTGATGTGAGTAATATGTGGGAGTATCACGTTTACCACTTTATTAGGTAATAATAGCCAGAGAGAAATTATTAATCTAAGGAATTATAGGGATTCACAAGCAAAACAATTTCCTTACATTTCAGTAATGAAAACGTCATATTATTTTAGACCTAGTGTTGACTAACAGGGAAACAAATTAATAAAATCGAAATAGGGAGTGAGCTAGGGAACAGTGATCACAAAGAAATCAGATTTAGCATAGAATGGGATAGATTTGTAGGAGAAACTTCTCTTACTTTTGTTAAAGTATCAGGGTTTTGAAAAGCTGATTTTAATGGTGTAAGAAATTTTTTGTTAAATGCCTGGAAAGAGATTTTGTCTTGCCTATATACTGAGTTTTTTGAGCCTTACAGTCCCCAAGAGGGCATTTGAAGGCATAGACGACGTTGGTCTCTTTTAAAGCGTTCTGCTTTGTGTCTGGAGAGTTTCTCATGAGTAGGCTGGCCGTTTTTTTGGTTTTATAGTAAATCGTCAGTTGTATCTTCTGATTTTTGTCTGTAGGGATAACGTTTCTATTAACAATATCTTTCAGGACCCTTTCCTCCGTTTTATGAGCTGTGGAAAAGAAGTTCCTGTAAAATAGTCTAATAGGGGGTATAGGTGTTGTGTTGCCTCTTCAGAGGTTGCATGGCGTTTCACTTTCCTTCTTATGTCTTCAACGAAACCATTGGAGAAACCGTTGTTGACTAGGGCCTGCCTTACCCTACAGAGTTCTTCGTCGACTTGCTTCCATCCTGAGCTGTGGCTGAGAGCACGGTCGACACAAGCGTTAACAACACTCCTCTTGTACCTGTCTGGGCAGTCATTGTTGGCATTTAGGCACATTCCTATGTTTGTTTCCTTAGTGTAGACTGCAGTGTGGAAACCTCCGCTCCTTTCCATGACTGTTACATCCAGAAAGGGCAGCTTCCCATCCTTCTCCATCTCGTAAGTGAAACACAACACAGAATTCTGCTCAAATGCCTCCTTCAGCTCCTGCAGATGTCTGACATCGGGTACCTGTGTAAAAATGTCGTCAACATACCTGCAGTATATGGCCGGTTTCAAGTTCATGTCGACTAAGACTTTTTGCTCGATGGTACCCATGTAGAAGTTCGCAAACAGGACACCTAGGGGAGAACCCATGGCGATCCCATCTACTTGCTTATACATGTGCCCATCCGGGCTCAAGAAGGGTGCCTCTTTATTTTTTTTTTTTTCTTTTCTACCACAGACGTGGCCACACATTTACAATGCTAACCAGCATATATACATTTTCTTCTGTCCTCCATGGACAGGGTTAGAGAAATGTTAAACATATAGTTCAAGGGTTTATTGAACACTCAACCACAGAAGGTGATTCAGGGCTTTTAAAATGCTAAGCTAACCTACATACGTAAATACATAGATACACAGATTTACGTATGCCCTACATAAAGTGTTCGATGTGTCTTTTACATAGTGTCATTAATGTACATTCACAAAGGTGAAATGTAATTCTGATCAGCTTCCATATATACTTTATACCCATACATATACATACACACACATATACATACATATATACACACACATGCAGGCGATGAGTCACAATAACGTGGCTGAAGTATGTTGACCAGACCACACACTAGAAATTGAAGGGACGATGACGTTTCGGTCCGTCCTGGACCATTCTCAAGTCGATTGTGTATACAATCACACAATCGACTTGAGAATGGTCCAGGACGGACCGAAACGTCGTCGTCCCTTCAATTTCTAGTGTGTGGTCTGGTCAACATACACACACATGCATTCACATACATCTGTCTCATTTACTCTGACAGGGTGAGATAGCTGATAAAAAAACTAGTGTGCAATTAAGCACTTAATCACTGAAGGTGATGAAGGTGCTTTTACAAGCTCAGGTTATATAGTTACATCATATATATACATTGTAAAAATGATATATTACATGGTCAATCTTGGATACAAGTCCAATATATCAAGTGTTCCAGTACTCCTATAGTAATTACAGAGTTCAGCATACCTTAGCCCAGGAGGGCGAAAGTCAGTCAGTATGGGACATTCTACAATATAATGTTCAAGAGAGTGCATGTTTTCTCTTTCACAAAGTTGACACATTGTGTACTCGACATTTGGGTTTTGAGAAAGCTGCCAGATACGTCTATATCCCAGGCGTATTCTGGCCACTATAACATCACATTGCCGGGTTCTTGTTCTATTAGTCCCATATGTGAATGCCTCCTCACGATATCTATCATAATATTTAATGCTACAACTTTCAGGTCTTTGTGAATTTGTTAGGTCGGTGAGATTTTCATTAGATATTTGTTTAAGTATTCTCTTTGTCACTGCTAATGAAACACCCATATCAATTTCTACCACTGGTTTTCTGCAGGCTGTCTTAGCAAGCATATCAACAGTGTCATGTCTTGAGATGCCAACATGTGATGGTATCCATAGGAATTTAATCTCAAATCTGTTTTCTTTAGCAGCTAAAACATTCATTCGAATATCACTGACTATTTTCTGGGTGTCACTACTATGTGCATTCAGTGTCAGGAGTGCACTCTGCGAGTCACAGTATATAAGTTCACTGCCTTTGTCTTTTAAAAATTCAGTGGCAAGGTATATGCCTGCAAGTTCGATTTGAGTTGTACTTGCCCAGTCATTGACGCGCTTCATTGCTGTATATATGAGAGAGGATTGTTCAAATATGTTACATGCACATCCGGTACATCGTCCACCTTCTTCTACAGAGTCGTAGGTATAGCACTGATACACATAGTTACCCATACTCTGAGTACTTTCAGTGATGCTTTTCAGTGTTAACTGTTTTAATAATGTAGTGTGCACACTATCTTTCTTTGGTGCATTTACAAAATCAACTGATAGATCCCAGTTATCCCATGGAGTAATTGGCTGATTAATCATTAGTTGAGTTGGGTACATATTTAATATTTTGATGGAGTTGGCTACCTTGTAGAACCAATATACATAATCAGATTTCGTTCTTCTTCTATAGACCTCAGGTGAGTGCAGCATATTAGAAAGTTTAGCTTGAAACTTCATGTGGTGTCTAGATCTACTCAATGCCTTCACGCCGAAAACTGTGCTAATAGACAAAATTTTCTCACTTATGGTAGGTAATTTTAACTCTGCTCTCATATTAACTATTCTCGTGGACTTTGGAGCCCCAAGGAAGAGACGCATAGCTTCATTTTGCAAGGTTTCAAGAGATTTCAGCTCTTTGTCAGTATACAGTGTGAGATGTAGAGCATTGTAGTCAATCACAGAGCGTATAAATGATACATAAAACATTTTAGCAAGTCTCACGTTAAGTCCATCATTGACACCAACAATGACCCGCAAGGGCTTTAATCTCTCCCAAAGTCTCCTCTTGAGAGAAGAAAGGTACCCAGGGTCGTTAATGGGGACACCAAGGTATCTGTAAGACTCGCAGTTCTCAAGTGCTCGCCCATCTATATGATAATTGGGTGGTGGAATATCACATGGAATGAGGGCACGAGTTTTCTGTACAGAGATAAGGAGGCCACATTCCTCAGCTCTAGTAGCAAAAGCTTCACGCAGAACTTGCATTCTAGGCTCGGAGGCAGCCTGTAAACATATATCATCAGCATAACAAATGACAGTGTCTTCATTCGAAGACAGTGTCTTCGTTGGAAGATCTTTAATAAGTTTATGCATCAGAACGTTGAACAACAAGGGGCTGAGGATGCCTTTCGGCAGGACTGATTGAGGTGGAGTTACCTGTACCGCTTCCCACCGGTCCGGTTGTTGCTCTGGATCCTGGCTTGGTTGGAGACTTACCAGGGAAGAGAAGTCCTGTTGGCTCCTTGGTGGCTGGCCCAGCCCTGGTTTCAAGCGCTTCTTGCTCGATGTCCGAACCCGAGGGTCTTCCTGCGGTTCCGCCTCTCTCAGCAGATCGGTCTGGTCCGGTACGTGGCTGGTTCGATCTTCTTCACTCATTGCGTCCGGTCTTTTTAACATGGGTGTATCTCCACTTGTATGGTGATCAGGTGGCTTCGTTGATGGTGTCCCACCTGCGAGTTTCGTCTAGACAGCAGTATGAAATTTCCGGGCAGTCCTTTCGGCATTTTTTGTCTCTTCATAGTTTGTCTTTGATTTCTGATCGAGTTGTTTTGTCCTTTCTCTCTTGGTTGTTTCAGGACCTTCATCTTATGCCAAATACTGTCGCCTCTTATCATGCGGTGATGGAGCCACTGCAGCTTGCATTCAGGGTGGATGTCGGATGTCACTTCTGCTCCATTCCGCAAGCTTTCTCGAACGTTGTTTCACCTCCGGCTTGCTCCCACCTGAGCCGTCCTGGTCGTTAAACCGGGTGCTCTCTCTTTCTCTCTTCTCCTCGGTTTGTGGTTCCCCCCCACCCCCCACCTCGGTTCAGGACTGTTTTTCTAAGGCTCTTTTTTTTTCTTGTTGTAATTGGCCTCTGGAGGTCGGGTCGGGGAGCTTCATGCTCTCCTCCGGCGCAAGGGTTTCTTTCGGTCATAGTGGTCATTTCGTTCGTTTGCAGCCTTCTCCTTCTTTTCTGGCGAAGAATGAGTCTGCTGCTTTTCGAAGGGGTCCTTGGGTTGTTGATGCTTGGTTGGTTCGGCTGGGGGGTGCATCATGTTTTGTGTCCAGTTACTGCTCTTTGCCATTATCTGTGCGCCATGGCCTCCATTGCAGGGGACGCGCTTTGGGTGGACCTGGTTTCCCTTCTTCCCTGTTCCAGGGAGCGGGTCTCCCAGGTCGTCCGCAGGATCATTCGGTCCAGCCAGCCTGCGGTCTATCCCCCGTGCCCACGACGTTCGTAAGTTCGTGGCTTTGGCTGCTGTTTTTGGGAATATGTTCTGGTCTGACATTCGGGCACGGGGCTTTTGGAGGTCGAACAGTTTCCTGGCCACACGGTATATCGTTCCTGGCCCTTCTCGGACGTGTGTAGCCTTGGGCCGCAGGTAGCAGCCAGTTGTCTCAACTTCGAGTTGAGGAGCGAGTGACGACCGCCTCCCAGGTAAGTCCCTCTTTTTCTTTATCTTTGGTTAAGTAACTCCGGGAAACCAGCGTTGAATGTAATGAAACACCATTTTCTGGGTGAGACCCGGAGGCTCCCTGGCATCCCTCCCTCCCATCCTCACTCTGGTCGGCGTTTTTTTCACGTTTTTTCATACTCAGCCTCTGAAATGAGGAGAGTTGCCGGCATGGAGGTCTGGGACCCCCCCCTCCGTCCCACTCCCGGGAGGAGGGGTTGCGCAGATGGATGCGCTGCGTTTGTGGTGACGTCATACTTGTTTCTTTGGTTTTGATTGGGGAGTTCTGTTGTTTGTTCGGCTTTCGGTTTGCAAATTTTTTGATCAGCAGCATTTTGTTTTGGAATTCCTACATTCTGGGTGCCTGACCTGGTAGATGGCAGACAAAGACTGCTTCCAATTACACAGGGGTGTCTTTAGGCCATTGCTCCTTGTGCCTCTCTTGAGGGGGCCAGGTTCTGGCTCTGGTCCCCAGTAGGCCTAGAACTCCTTCGACTGACTGTTGCCATGGTCTAAAATATACACATCAGCCCGGTATAGTGCCGGGGAGCCTCTGGGTCTCGCCCAGAAAATGGATTTTCATTACATTCAACGCTGTTTTTTTTTTTTTTTTTTTTTTTTTTAATATTCGTCTAAAATCAATTTCTGAAAATATTTTGATGAAAGTTTCACGATGCTGAAGCCAATAAGTTGGAGATTTGTTGAACATTTTTAAGTAATTTTTACATAATTCAAATGTTTTTTGTTATACCCCCTTATGCTGAGCAGTTTAAGGGTTAAGTAGGACATCCTTTCTCTGATGACATTGATATTTGAAGGTAAGGCTTTCACTCTTTAGATCAGTGACACACTTGAGTCCCTTGTCAATGACCAGATGGTGGCAGGAAAGCAAGAAGAAAATATATATGTAGTGAACAAGAATGTGGGAACCAGAAAGGAAATGGGAAAGGGCAGGGAGATCAAAGACCAGTCTTGAATGGGTGCTGTAAATTATGTAAGCACAACCCATACCAGCCAGAAGCAAGAATTAAGGAATGGAAAGAGGAAGAATACAAAGAAATAACAAGTATGACATTACAATGAGAGAAAAATAAGCAAAAAGATGCTATCACATAACATTATTTTATTAACTAAAGAAGTAAATTATCACAATCATCCTTTTGAAGCAAACATGAGCGAAAGTCTACACAGGGAAGGGAACACATTTTTCAGGGGTGAGCCCTTTGTGGCTTCCTGAAGCTGAAGCAATCTCACTGAAATGGCTGCCAACTACTTGGTATCAGTGGAGGAGTTCTGTTTGGCCTGCCAGGGACCAGAGCCAGAACCTCAGCCCTTGTTTTTCCTCTATGGTCATTCTTACATGTGTTTTCTTGCCTTGAACCTTACCACTGGCTTTCTTGGAACCTATGGAGAGATATATAATAACAACTTTTATGTTCAAATAGCCAAAAATCCCCCCCCCCCAAAACTGTAAATCTTTGCAAAGAATTCAGGCCCGATAGTCACTAGTCGGGAGGCACTGGTAAACTGAGGTGCGATCGCCGTGCCACCATGCACTAGGTTGGCCATACGCTTATCAACAAACTCATTTCCCGAGGTAAAGTTCATAACCCGATTCAAATTTTCTGAAGAAATCGGGCTCGTAACCCGAAAAGTTCACAGAGGGGCATTCGTAAGCCGAGATACTATTGTACTGTATGTATTATAGTATATTATTTATAAGATTAGCCAGTTTTAGATAATGTAGTTTCTAATCCTTTTTGTTTACAGGACAACCACTGTTTGCGTATCAAGATCCTTGGCGACTGTTATTACTGTGTGTCTGGCTTACCTGAAGCCAGGAGTGACCATGCCAGATGTGCAGTTGAAATGGGTCTCGATATGATTGACGCCATAGCGTAAGTTAGATCTACTTCCGCAACCAATCACTTTTATTTTATGAATGTTTTTTCATATATTCATTCTATTTAACCTAGATTAATGATTATTATTAATATTATTGCATAAGAATGTTTACGTTAAACACTTAAGCCATTGATATAATAAATGCTTCTCTGCTGTGGAATGCAGTTCTTTTTGAATATATTTATTAGTCTGTATGCCAGAGATGAGCTGGTGAATGAATTGATGAATAACATCAACATGTTACAATGAACCCATAAACGAGAACCGTGATTAAGGACAAAATATAAACAATGACTAACAATTTAAAGCTTTTTCTCAAAGTAGAAAAACCGAAGGACTGGAAAATATGTTGAATAATACCATTGTTTGATATATTTGGTATATGGCTATTTGGAGGAAAGTCATCAGGGATTGTGAAATAAATGTGAGAATGTGATGCAGTATGTATACAGTACAGTACTTTTAAAATTAATAGTTGCAGCGATATCAAACAAAAATACTATTACTATTAAATGTTACACTCGCCTAATTGTACTCGCCTAATTGTGCTTGCGAGGGTTGAGCTTTGGCTCTTTGGTCCCGCCTCTCAACTGTCAATCAACTGGTGTACAGATTCCTGAGCCTACTGGGCTCTATCATATCTACATTTGAAACTGTGTATGGAGTCAGCCTCCACCACATCACTTCCTAGTGATGTGGTGGAGGCCATTTATTAACTACTCTGACACTGAAAAAATTCTTTCTAACGTCTCTGTGGCTCATCTGGGTACTAAGTTTCCACCTGTGTCCCCTTGTTCGTGTCCCACCCATGCTGAAGAGTTTGTCTTTGTCCACCCTGTCAATTCCCCTGAGAATTTTGTAGGTGGTTATCATGTCTCCCCTTACTCTTCTGTTTTCCAGGGATGTGAGGTTCAGCTCCTTTAGCCTTTCCTCGTAGCTCAATCCTCTCAGTTCTGGGACGAGCCTGGTGGCATACAGCTGAATCTTCTCTAACTTTGTCTTGCGTTTAACTAGGTATGGACTCCAGGCTGGAGCTGCATACTCCAGGATTGGTCTTACATAAGTGGTATACAGGGTTCTGAAAGATTCCTTACACAAGTTTCTGAAGGCAGTTCTTATGTTGGCCAGTCTAGCATATGCCGCTGATGATATTCTTTTGATGTGGGCCTCTGGGGACAGGTTCGGTGTGATATCAACCCCCAGATCCTTCTCTCTATTTGACTCTTGCAGGATTTCCCCTCCCAGATGATACCTTGTGTTCAGCCTCCTGCTCCCTTCGCCTAATTTCATCACCTTACACTTTCCTGAGTTGAACTTTAGCAGCCATTTTCTAGACCATTCCTCCAGTTTATCTAGGTCATCCTGTAGTCTCTGTCTATCTTCATCCGTCTTGATTCTTCTCATAATTTTTGCATCATCAGCAAACATTGAGAGGAATGAGTCTATACCCTCTGGAAGATCGTTCACATATATTAGAAACAGGATGGGTCCAAGTACTGAGCCCTGTGGGACTCCGCTGGTGACATCTCACCACTCTGATGTCTCCCCCCTCACCGTTACTTGCTGTTTCCTGTTGCTTAAGTACTCCCTTATCCACTGGAGCACCTTCCCTTTTACTCCTGCCTTTTGCTCCAACTTTATTGACAGCCTTTTATGGGGTACTGTGTCAAAGGCTTTTTGGTAATCCAGGAAAATGCAGTCGGCCCACCCTTCTCTTTCCTGCCTAATTTTCGTTGTCTGGTCATAAAATTCTATTAAACCTGTGAGGCACGATTCACCATCTCTGAACCCATGTTGGTGGTGCGTTACAAAGTTATTTCTCTCCAGATGCTCTACGAGCCTTTTCCTCACGATCTTCTCCATCACCTTGCATGGTATACAAGTTAAGGAAACTGGCTTGTAATTCAGTGCCTCTTGCCTGTCACCCTTTTTGTATATTGGGACCACGTTAGCTGTCTTCCAACTTTCTGGTAAGTCTCCTGTTTCCAGTGACCCTTTATACACCATAGAGAGTGGCACACTTAGTGCTTCTGCACCTTTCTTTAGTATCCATGGCGAGATTCTATCAGGCCCAGCAGCCTTTGTCACATCCAGCTCCAGCAGACACCTTTTGACATCATCACTGGTGAGGTCAAATTCCTCCAAGGTTGCTTGGTTTGCCGCCTCCTCATTTAGTGCAGGGGCTTCTCCTTGTTCTATTGTGAAGACCTCCTGGAATCTCTTGTTGAGTTCTTCACACACCTCCTTGTCATTCTCTGTGTATCTGTTTTCCCCTTTCTGCAGCTTCATCACTTGTTCCTTCACTGCTGTTTTCCTCCTGATGTGGCTGTGGAGCAGCTTTGGTTGGGTCTTGGCTTTACTCGCGATGTCATTTTCAAACTGTGTCTCTGCTTCCCTCCTCACTCTGAGGTACTCATTTCTGGCCCTCTGGTATCTCTCCCTGCTCTCTGGTGTTCTGTTATTTCTGTAGTTTCTCCATGTTCTTTTACTCAGTTGCTTCGATACCTTACATTCCTGGTTGAACCATGGGTTTTTCTGTTTTTCGTTTTTCTCCTTTTGGACGGGGATAAACCTGTCTGCAACTTCCTGGCACTTCTGGATGACAAAATCCATCATGACCTGCACATTCTTGTCTCTAAGTTCTGTTTCCCATGATATTCCCCCGAGGAAGTTCATCTCGTCATATTTTCCTCTTCGGTAATTCAGTCTTTTTCCCTCCGCTCCCATCCTTGGATAGGTTATCCCTACCTTCACCAAGTACTCAAAGGTCAGTACACTGTGGTCACTCATTCCTATGGGGGCTTCAACTTTGACTTCCCTTATTTCTGACTCATTCAGGGTGAATATCAAGTCGAGTCTAGCTGGTTCATCATTTCCTCTCACTCTTGTGGGTTCCTTGACATGCTGGCTCAGAAAATTCCTTGTTGCCACTTCCAAGAGTTTAGCTCTCCACGTATCTGCACCACCATGTGGGTCCCCATTCTCCCAGTCTATCTTTCCATGGTTGAAATTGCCCATGATTAAGAGTTTTGAGCCATTCCTGCAGGCAACTGAAGCTGCTCTCTCTATTATATTAATGGTTGCCATGTTGTTCCTATCAAACTCCTGTCTAGGCCTTCTGTCATTTAGGGGGGGGGGGGTTGTAAATGACTGCCACTATTATCTTGGGTCCACCCATTGTTATAGTTCCTGTTATGTAATCTCTGAATCCGTCACAGCCCGGAATTTCCATCTCATCAAAACTCCAGTCCTTCCTTATCAGCAGGGCCACTCCTCCACCTCCTCTCCCTTCCCTTACTATATAGTAGTCCTTTGGAAACATAGCATCTGTTATGATTCCTGACAATTTTGTTTCCGTTAGTCCTATTACATCTGGGTTTTCTTCTTGCACCCTTTCTGCCAGTTCACTTGCTTTATTGGTAATCCCATCAATGTTTGAGTACATTACCTTGAAGCTCACTTTCTTATATCCAACACACTGTGTTGGTTCTGAGGATCAACATTCCCATGGCCCAGTCTCTGATCAGCCCTCCTGGTTGATGGCCTGATCAGGCAACCCGTTCTCGCACTTTCGTATAGTCAATATTGACTTATTAAATACGTGCATATGTGACATACTAAACATACTAGTTTACCTTGAAAAGCTTCATAGAAAACACCGACCTTACCTAACCTTCTTAGTATGTTAAGATAAGCATCTTATTGCTTCGTAATTACAATTATTACTTAACCTATACCTATAATAGGTTAAATAATAATTGTAATTATGAAGCAATAAGATGCTTATCTTAACATACTAAGAAGGTTAGGTAAGGTCGGTGTTTTCTATGAAGCTTTTCAAGGTAAACTAGTATGTTTAGTATGTCACATATGCACGTATTTAATAAGTCAATATTGACTATACAAAAGTGCGAGAACGGGTTGTATCAGGCTGTTAGATATAGCTGCTTGCAGCATTACATTGAATCAGCCCAGATTTTCAAATATCCTTTGGAGGTGATTATAAAGTTCTCTTTTGAACATTATGAGAAGTAAGCTAGTTATGCCCCATATATTTGGAGGGAGAGTGTCGAGTCTTGTGCCCTTCATGTTGATAGAATTCTCTCAACATACTTATTGTGCCTGTTTTTCAATGGGGCAATTTTGCACTTCCTGTCATGTCTCCGGATCTCATGTATTGTTATTTCTGTGTACGTATTTGGTAGTCACTCTTAATATTTTTCAATTTCAGTACTGTATAAACATTTATGTATCTCTTTTGTCTGCACTCTGGGAATTCACATTTAAAAATTTTAGTAGGATTCTACTAAACTTGGAATATTACTCTAGTAGAAATCTTTTAGTTAGTGGATTCTGGTTAATACCTTAGTGTTATTACCTAAGTGTAGTTACAGGATGAGAGCTACGCTCATGGTGTCCTGGCTTCCCAGCACTCTGTCATATAACGCTTTGAAACTACTGACGATCTTGGCCTCCTCCACCTTCTCACCTAACTTGTTCCAACCGTTTACCACTCTGTATGCGAAAGTGAATTTTCTTTCTTTGGCAGCTTTGCTTAACTTAAATCTATGACCTCTTGTTCGTGAAGTTCCAGGTCTCAGGAATTCTTCTCTATCAATTATATCAATTCCCATTACTGTTTTGTATATAGTGATCATATTACCTCTTTTCCTTCTATCTTCTAATTTTGGCATATTTAATTAATGCCTCTAACCTCTCCTCATAACTTTTGTCTTTCAGTTCCAGGAGCCACTGAATTGCATATCTGCACCTTTTCCAGTTTGTTTATGTGCTTCTTAAGATATGGGCACCATACAATTGCTGCATATTACAGCTTTGGTCTAAAGGGCATGAACAATTTGTTTAGTTTTCCATCCATGTACTGTCTCCACTCGATCATCCGGACTATATGGGAAGGACCCCCAGCCGGATTATCACATTTTTCGGATAATGGTACTTTTTCACCTACGAGTCCAAAAGTGACCATTTCCAA